CCGTGAACGAGCCGCAGTGCGGATCCCAACAGTGTATATGGGACAGTCCAGATGGCCAAAGAGGCAGGGTTCTTGTGCTCGTTTCATTCACCTGTTCCTTCTCCAGACAGGAAGGGAGCAGATCCCGGCCAGACCCCGGCTCCCCCTGGGCACACGATGCTGTGTGGAACTTAGGCTGGTGAAGAAGTTCATGGGGTGTGTAACTTGTTCCGATGAGTTGTCTGTGCAGGAGCAGTGTGAGCCTTCTGGGAGCTGGTAAGAGGGGGTTCTCCACTGAGTTAGACCAGGGAGTGGAAGGGTGAGTGGGCGTTTCGTGCGAGGAGGAGAGGGCAGCCTATGTCTAGGGAGAGGAGGTGGGAGTGTCCTCAGGCAGCAGGAAGCCTGGGTAGCCCCAGGCCTGGCCTGAGTGTGGGGAGCGCAGGACAGGGCCACAGGGCTCTGGGCTTTTGTCTCGGGAGCAGTAGGAACCGGAGGAAGCCCGCACACCACCTGAGTTAGCTTGTGTTTTTAGCACCCCTAATGGCTGCAGAGACTGGAAATATGTGAATCAGTTAGAGCACTGGGAATTGAGGGGGACAATTTGAGTGAGGGAGTTGCTGATGAAGAGGGAAAGAAAAAGGATGGGCTTAGCAGAGGAGGAGTAGGAGAAAAAGCTGGAGAGGTACTGGTGCGGGTGAGGCTGTGGAGCAGAGCAGTGGGAGGGGCCTGCCGGCCAGGTCCAAGTTTATACCCAGCCTGGAGGAGCCGCTGATCGTGCTCTGCCGCCAAACAACTGCCCGCACACGGCACAGTCCTTACGTATGCTCGGCCATTCTTGTCTGTGTTTTGCACGCTCACCTCATTTAATCCGGGAAACTACCATATGCAGATGCCACTGTCAGTCGCAACTAATGGATGGGTTAAGCGCCTGCTCTGGGTCTCCTACCTTGGAGCTGGGTTTTACACCCTGAATTCTGGTGCAGAGTATAACCACTGAGCCTTCCTGCCACGGAAGCTTTCTGAGCAGGAGAAGGGTGCAATCAGTGCTGTGACTAGAAAATTAATCTGGTGGCAGGGAGCAGGCTGGGTGAGATTTGGGCAAGAGGCTTGGAGGTGAATGTTTCAAATGGCTGGAGTGAGGCTGGGTCTGAGCTGCCGGCCGAGGGAGAGCAGGAGGGAAGGGGAGGGTGATACGCAGGGCCTCTGGCACAGATGGAATTTAGGACGTGTGTTAGTTTTCTATTGCTGCTGTCACAATTTACCGTATTCATAGTGGATTAAAGAAAACACCCGTTCTGAAATCTTACAGTTCTGTAGATCAGGAGGCAGGGAAGACTGGCTTCTCTGTTAGTCTCGCAAAGCTGAAGTCAAGACGTTAGCCAGGTTGGACTTGAAGCTCTCAAGGAGGACGCTTCACACTCATTCCTCGGTTCTTCTCTTTTTTCGTTTGCTGTTGGAGATTGAACCCAGGGCCTTCGCACTGAGCTACATCCGCAGACCTTTTTCTTTTTTGAGACAGGGTCTCACTAAGTCCCTGAGTTGCCCAGGTTGGGTTTGAAGCTGCCATCCTTCTGCCTCAGCCTCCTGTGGTGCTGGCGTCACTGGCGTGGACCACCAACCAGGGCCCTGTCTTTCCTGCCAGAATTCAGTCCCTTGCTGTTGTAAGGCTTAAGTCCTCATTCCCTTGTCTCGGCTCCTAGAAACCACTCTCTGGTCCCTCTGCCTTCAAGGTCAGAACAGTGTGCCACTCCCCTGCCTTTAGCACCTCCCGCTTCCTCTCCTGCCAGCAGCCGAGAAAGTTCTCTGCCTTCATGTGGATGTATTTATTTATGTGTTTACAGTTATGTATTTAGGTATTTATTTTTGAGACAAGGTCTCACTATGTAGTTCAGGTTGGCCATGAACTCACCGTATTGTCCAGGCTGGCCTCGAACTTGCAATTCTCTGCCTTTCGCCCTGAATCATCTTGCTTTTGCTATGTGACATAATCACAGGGATGATACATAGCTGGGATAAGTGTCACAGGGCCATCTTAACACTCTGTGCAGCCACAGTTTGTGTTCCTGAGACATAGGAAGAGGTGGTATGGGCAGAGGGCCTGAGATTTGGGAACTGAATAATTGGGAACAGAGTGGCTGCAGGACCTGAACTCAGGACAGTGGGTAATGAATGAGGGTGGCCGTGCAGTGGACACATAAAGCGGTTAGGAAGGGGCCCTTCTGCTCAGCAGAGTGATGGGGTGACAACTACTTCCTGCCTTTGTCAGGAGACACACTGCACGCGGAGAGAACCCTAATCCTGTGAGCCTTGCTGCGTGCGACCCCTGTGCCGCTGCCACACAGATGGGGTTTCCAGCCTTCCTACTCCAGACTCCCTGGGCTCTGTCCATGTCATTGTTTCCCCATCCATGACCACTATTCTTTTTTTTTTTTGGTACTGGGGATTGAACTTGGGACCTTGTGCTTTCAAGGCAGGTGGCGGAACCACTGAGCTCAATCCCCGGCCCCGATGACCACTATTCTGACCTCAGTTGCCACAGACCAACTTTGCTGGTGCTTGAACTTCGTCTAAATAGTCATATAGTATGTAAGGAGAGTTTCATCCGATCACTGGTGGTGGGTGGGGGTACAGTTCAGTGGTAAAGCAGGTACTTAGCATGTATAAGGCCCTGGGTTCAGTCTGCAGCACCCAAGAAAGAAAATGACTGGGTGTTTGCTGCATGCCAGATACTGTGCCCGACTCTGGGGATGCAGCAGCGACGAGACAGACAGCTTCTCCCAGCCTTGTTAACTTAAGCTCACCCCAGAAGAAAGAGAGCCCTACTGTTGGAGGCCACCAGATAACCTAGGGGGGAGTGTGGGCAAAGAAGGTGTTAAGGTTTGGGTCTGGATGTCCCCCCCAAAGCCTCATGTCCTAGGCTTGATCTGGAGAGTGTGAAGCTGGGATTGATTCAAGATGCAGTGCTAGGCTCAAGGGCACTAGGATTAAGCGTGTGAGTGCTGCCTGCCCTACGTAGTCTGAATAAGACAAAAGGGGCAGGGAGATGCTGTTAACTCCCTTGTTCCCTTGCTGCCTTGTGTGCACCATGTTGTTTCTGCTCTTCCATCCCTGTTTTGCATCCCTGCCTTGGTGTCGGCTGTTATGGACTGAAACCTCTGTGAACTGCAAGCCAGATAAACCCCTTCCCTTCTAACTTTGAGTGTCGGGATTTTGTCTCAGCAATGAGAGGAAAGTAACTAACACAGAAGGCAAAAGCTAGGCGTGGTGCTGCACACTTGTAATCCCAGGTACATACAGGCTGAGGCAGGAGGACCAAATCTGAGCCCCTTCTGGGCAACCTAACGAGGCCCTGTTTTAAAATAAACATTTACAAAGGGGATAGGGATGTAGCTCAGTGATGGCAAACTTGCCTAGCATGTGCAAGATCTTGGGCTTGATGCCCACTACTGCAAACAAACAACAAAAGGAGGATGAAGATGAAACAGAGGGAAATGAGAAGGGTGGAGCAGTCAGACCGCAAAGGGACTGAAGGGTGAAGCAGCGCAGAAGCCAGAGAAAGGGTGCTTCGGGGGGGGCGCGGGCAGTGGTGTCCTGTGCCGCTGGGAGGTTAATGAGCAGGTGTTTGTGCAGCACCTGCTCTGCACAAGGCAGCGAGGGGGAGGAGGAGGACGGGGCCGCGCACAACTGCTCTAGTGATGACCTCCACCGCGCCCAGAGGGAAAGGGAGGGCCCAGGCAGGGGCCAGAGCGGTCCAATGCGTCCTGGCCGCAGGCCATCACCGCCTGGCTGGCATCCTCTGGGCTTCTGGGCCACAGGCTAAGGTTAGAGCCCCACCACGGCCGCCTGGCCCGGGCTCAGTTCCGGGGACTTCCAGGCCTTCCACTTTCACCTGTTGCCCTGTCTCTGACTGCAGGCACTCTGACCTTTTCCCGGCCTCGTCCCGTTCCTTCCTACTTCAGGGCCTCTGCACACATAATCTCCTCTGGGGTAAGCCTAACAGACTTTCATCCTCCTCCTTAGAAAGACCGAGTTAACTCTACTTGCTGTTATTCACTGCTCATGGCAGGTCATCTCTTCGAGAAGCCTTTCCTGACTCCCCTGGCTTGCTCTATAGAACTTCCGTTCCTGGGAGAGGGGGCAGGGAGGGGAGAAAGGGGGAAATAAAAGGAATGAATGTGTTATGTTCATGTTCCAACTCCTCATGGTGAACGGAATCACTGTATACTGCAAACATGTACGAATAAAAATAAAATTTAAGAAAGAACTTTCCTAGGGCCGGGGATGTAGCTCAGCGGTGTGGCCGCCTGCCTTGCAAGTGCAAGGTCTAGAGTTTGATCCCCAGTACCAAAAAAAATAAATAAATAAAATAAATCTGATTCTAAAAAAGAACTTTCCTAACACATCTCATGGTGAGTAGTTGTATATTTCTATGATTATTGATATGTGTCTATCACTCTCACATATTAGCGACCCCAGTGAGAGAGGGACCCTATGACTGTCAGGGATCCCCCAGCACGCCTTAGTGAGGCTTGTATGATCCAGGAGGTCTGCCTTTGAGCTATGTGACCTTGGGTATGTGGCTTTCTTCTCTTTCCTGGGACTCAGTTTCCTCATCCATACAATGAAGGGATAGATTCTCAAAGGGCCTCTCCAGCCTGGTGTCCTTGGAATCCATGAGTCATGCTCATAAGACAGGCCCTGGGCTGCCGGCCAGGACATTAGCATGGGTACTAGCGAGTGCTGAGTAAGGAGGTGGGAATGCTAGTCCTGCCGGGATGGGACAGAGTGGCATAATCTAGGACAGTGGTGGCGAACCTGTGGCACGCATGTTTTTTGTTCTTCTTTTAAGACAAAAGATGTTAATGTATGAGCTGTTTTTTTCTCAACTAAAGCCTCAGTATTCAGGTTTAATTGCAGCATTGGCACTTTGTGATAAATAAGTGGGTTGCACGTTGGGGCACCTAGTATTTTGGTTGCAGTTTGGGCTCTCATCTCTAAAAGGTTCGCCATCCCTGATCTAGGCTGTTCGGGAAGACTTCCTGGAAGAGGAGGGGGAAGAGAATCGAGTACATGCAGAGGAGAAAGCTCTAAGGACGGGAGAGGCACAGAAGCCCTGGATGTGACAGCAGACAAGTCAATAGCCTGGCTGTGCCCACGGGAAGGGTCCAGCTCCCTCCAGGTAGGAGAGGCCCTGAGCTTTAGTTTCCTATTGCTCCTGTGACAACGTGCCACAAAGCTGAGGGCTTATTATCTGAGTGTTCTGGAGGTCAGCATCCAAAGCCAGCTCACTGAGCTCGAGGCTAGGCATGGACAGGCTGGCTGTGTCTGGAGCTGCAGGGCAGAAGTGGTTCCCTTGCTTGGTCCAGCTTTTAAAGGCTCCCCCATTCCCTGGCTCATGGCCCGGATCTCTGGCTCAGGCTTGTTGCCTGCCTTCCATAAGGGCCATGTGGTTACACTGCACACTCGGGCGATCCAGGAGTCTCCTGATCTCATGCCTCTGATGTGGCCCATCTGTGAAGCTCCTCAGGCCGTGTGAGGCCGTGTGCTCACTGTCCAAAGGACTAGAGTAGGGACATCTCGAGGGGCTGCATTCAGCTGCTCACACATTAGGGTCACTGGTGTGGAGTCTGGAGCCAGAGCACCGAAGTTCAGGGCCTGGCTGTCACTCCCTAGTGGCCTAGTCCTGCTTGACTTATGTGACCCCTCTTAGGCCTGAGTTTTCTCACTTGTAGATAAGGAAATAGACAGTGTACCTTGCTTGTTTCAGGAATCTATTGCTGTATGACAATCACCCCAGAGTTTGGTGGCTAAAGACAAAGACTTTTTTATTTTTCATGATTCCGGTGATGGGCTGGGTCCAGCTGGGTGTTTCTTCTGCACTTTGAGATGCTGGCTGAGCTCAGGAGTGCAGCTGTGCTCTTCTGGAAATGCAGCTAAGGGTGGGATAGCCACACGTGGCCGCACTGACCGGTCTAGCCGTTGATGCCTCTGCTGGCTGGAGAGCTCTGGTCCCCGCACCCCTGTCTGTACTTCTCTGGCAGGGGAATCCAGGCCCCTTTACATGGGAGCAGCTTCCCAGCTGGGTGAGGTCACAAGGCCGCTTAGGGGTGGAGCCCCCTGAGTGTCACTTGTGCTGTGTCGTGCTGGTCAGACAGACCTCTACCTGTCAGGCAAAGCCACATAGGATAGTCATGTGTGTGTGTGTATGTGTATATGTGCACGTATATATGTGTATATGTATGTGTGTATATATATGTACACATGTGTTTACATGTGTGTATATGTACAGGTGTGTACATATGTGTATGTTGTATATGTAGATATGTGTATGTGTGTATATGTGTGTGTATATGAGTGTGTGTGTATATATATATATATATTTTAATGAGACAAAGTATGATCACTATGTAGATCAGGCTGGCCTCAAACTTGCAGCGGATCCTCCTGCCTCAGTCTCCTGAGTGTTGGGATTACAGGTGTGCACCACCATGCCAGGCTGCACAGTCAAACAAAACAGAAACCCAAGGCCCTAAGAAACTTGAGTAAGGAAGTAACAGGCTTCAGACTGGGGCCAGTGCTGTATGATTCTTCCCAATTTGGTGATGATTTCAAGTTTGTTGAAACAAACTTTTGTTTGCTTGTTTTAGTAGGGAAACACCACCCTATCTTTTCTAAACAAACCTGATACATAAAACTGAGAAAGACATTTTCTTTTTCTTTTTTTTTTTTTGGTACTAGGGATCGAACTCGGGTCCTTGCATTTGCGCAGCAGGCGGTGGAACCACTGAGCTAAATCCCCAGCTCATTAGCATTTTATTTTGCATTTTATTAGCACATATTATGAAGGCTTTATTTGGTACCTTTTTTACTTCTTAGGTAAAGACATATCAATTAGCACACATGATAGCAACTTGATATCATGAGACCAACTTGTGATTTGTTAAAATTAAATTTGTAGTATTTCCATGAGCACATGGTCTTTTACTAAGGTTTCAAAGAGTATATCTTTATAAACTCAAATCAAAACTCTGGCCCTTTAGATACTGTGGGGAACTGGAATGCTGTGTTAGACCCAGACTGGAAACCCTTCTCTCAGATCATCTTTCCACTTCGGGAAGAAGTTGAAAGAGCCCCAAGAACCTGCCCAGGAGATCTGAGTCCTTTTATAAGCAGTGGGGCATTGTTTAATGTCTTCAAATCCACTATCTATTGGACTTTTGAGGGTTTGAGATCAAGATGAATAAAGTAGTGAGAAAATGAGTAGATGAGAATAAAGTAGATGAGAAAAATAGTAAGAGCCGGAGCATCGATGCTTCCTGTGTATTGTGCTCTTATTTTACGTCCTTGAGTTACAGGTAGCTACTGTCATTGTTCCCACTTGATGGCTGATGAAACTTGGGCTCAGAAGTAATTTATCGAGCCAGCAGCTGGGCATAGTGGCACACGCCTGCAATCTCTCTCTCTCTCTCTTTTTTTTTTTGGTACCAGGGATTGAAGTCAGGACCTTCCGATTGTAAGGCAGGCAGCAGAACCACTGAGCTAAATCCCCGGCCCCACGCCTGTAATCTCAACACTTGGGAGGCTGAGGCTGGAGAATTGCTGTGAGTTCGAGGTCAGCCAGGGCCACAAAGAGAGTTCAAAGCCAGCCTGAACTACTGTAGATGGTGAGACTTTTTCTCAAAAAACAAAACAAGGGATTTAGCTCAGTGGTGCTGTTCCTGGCTCTCAAGTGCAAGGTCCTGAGTTTGATCCCTGGTACCAAAAACAAAACAAACAAACCCCAAATCAAAATAATAAACAAAGGAGCTAGGTTGCAAGCCTGTGGAGCGTCACTAGAGTTGTTTTCTTGAGCAGGTCATTAGGAGCAGAGAGCAAGCAGGCAGGAGGTGGAGGCAACGTGTGTGCTTATCAGGTGGAGGACACTGACTGTGAGGGGAGAGCTGAGAGGGATTCCAGGGGCCAGAGGGAAGACTCTCAAGGCTCAGGAGAGATCAAGAAAGATTGGGACTGGCATTGGGAGAGGTCCGTGAATGAGCACGTGGTTGGAGCATTGCTCCTAAAGCCTAAGGGCATGGAGTCGGGGACACAGGTAGAGCTTCTCCGTGCAGCAGGCCTCCGGCAGGGATGGAGTTTGTCCCCAGACGGTGTGGGTGGGCCTGCGGGCGGGGAGCAAGTGGGACCAGCTCTACCTTCCTCCACACTCTCTGCTCCTGTTTCCCAGACACGCTCCACACCAGGGAAGAGCCTACATTTGAGGGGCAGTCCATTCGGGGTTCAAGGCCCGGATCTGCAGCTTACTGGTTGCGCGGTCCTGGCAGGTCGTTTAACCGCTTGAATCCCATTTCCTATGTGCATACGTGAAGGTGGCAGCACCTTCCAAGGTTGTTGCAGAGGGCCACCAAGGTGATCTGGATGAAAGCAGGCCATGCATCTTTTTTCTCTTTTGGAGACAGGGTCTTGCTGTGTAGTCCAGGCTGGCTTTGAACTCACTATGGAGCCTAGGCTGGCCCTGAATTAGGGGCAATCCTCCTGCCTCAGCCTCCTGAGTGCTGGGATTATAGGTGTGCACCAGCACACCTAGTTGGCTGTGCATCTTGGTGCAGAATAGATGCTCTCTGAAATCTGGTTTCCTCCCTCTCTTCTCCTCTACTTACGCAGCTCTGTCCTCTGGCCCAGCCAGGTGCCCAGCACGCCTGCTGATGCTTGGGAGGCACCTGCCCAGCACCTGTGGTACTTACTTCTCCATCACCCTTTCTGGGCCTTGCACCTTGTGAAGCTGTGTCCCTCTGTGGCACACCAGAGCACTCTGGATCATTCACGTGGAGACCAGGGTACACTTACTAGTTTTGTACTGTAGGTGTTAGTGTTTGGCTCTAGAAGTCATGTAGTAAATATTTGCCAGAAGAAGAAAGGGGTGTATTCGTGCATTTCGCCTTGGGAGAAAGTGTAACAGCAGTTTTGTACCCAACTCTTCGGCGGAGTCTGGAAGAACTCTGGCAGAAGCCAGGGAACTTGGTAATGACATTTAGATTTGGTGGCAGGAAGGCAGGTGAATGGCACCTTTGACCAGTCCATCTGGGGGGTGCTGGTACCTGTGAAACTTTTGTTTGGAAAAATCAGTGACAACTTGGGCTGCATTGGAGGTACAGGAAAGCTTCATTGGTTGGAATGTGGTTACCATGAAGAAGCTGTGTTTCTGGAAATTAGCCTGAGTTTGATGCTGAATTGAGTTAGAGCTGGGAGCAGACTGGGGGCTGGAGAACACAGGAGCTGCCTCTCAGGAGCCCTCTGCACTGCAGCTAGAGTGGAAGCCCTGCCCACTCAGCCCTGCATGAGGTGGGCCAAGCTGTGACAGACGGCACCCGAGGTTCTGGAAGGAGGGTGGGGGGATAAAGTGCCTGGGCCAATGGAGGAAGAAGGTCACAGGGTGTCTGGGTCTTGGAGACGTGGCCTCTGATTTCCCCAGGCCTCCTCCATGTTCTCTGGGCTACCCAGTCGGCCACCTGCTGCAGCCCAAGGCCTCTGTCCTCCCAGGAAGTCATCTCTATTTGCTGTCTTTCACCCCAGCTCCCCAACATTTCAAGACTGATGATGGAGACCTAACCAGTCCACTCCTATTTCTCGATCCCTTTTCCAGGAGAAAGTTCGTTTACCTCTGCTGCTGCCTTCCTTAGTAGAAATAAACGGCAGAAGATGTGGTCCTCTGCTCCATTAAAAAGAGGACTTTAAACACTCAGCCACAAAACGAAGACGTCGTCGTTTCTCACTGCCCTTTGAATGAGCTGGTCCAGGTAGGGCTTGGAACTCATTCTAACAATGGGGTGAGCAATGCCCCGGTGCAGCTGGGGAGTTGGGAGCAAGCAGTATAACATTCCCCAGGTTTCTCCACATTGTAGACTGTCTCTAAACTCATCTCAGCTGACCCTCAGAATAACCCTGAAAGAGCTGGGCATGGTGCCATACACCTGTGACCCAGCACTTGGGAGACTGGGGAAGGAGGATCTCTGTGAGTTCAAGGCCAGGCTGGGTACATGGCAAGACCCTGTCTCAAAAAAATTAATAAAAGTTTAAAAAATAATCCTATGGGGGCCAGGGGTTTAGCTTCGTGGTTTCGCTGCCTGCTGCGCAAGCGCAAGGACCCGAGTTCAATCCCCAGTACCACACACACAAAAAATCCTGTGAGCTGTCCTGATTATTGACATTTGGCAGGTGGAAACAGGCTCAGAGAAGTGACAGTCACTTGCCGCGATCAGATAGCCAGCAAGTGGCAAAACTAGGGTTCAAATCCAGACGCCAAGCCTGAAGCCTAAGCACTTGCCAGAAGAACTGCAGGGCTCTGGAGGGCGGACATGTGGGATGTGGAGCTCAGGGAAGGCTTGGCAGAGGGTGGGCTCCTGGCTGGGTGGGCACACGGGGGACAGTGGATGGCGCACTAGGACTGAGTGGGGACTCGCGTAGGAGCCTTCCTCGTGCGGGGCTCTCCCCTAGGAACGGCTCCAGGAGACCCCTCCTGCTCTTGCTCAGGGCGGCTCTCCGGGGCCCAGACTCTCCCTCCCAGTGGCACCCTCAGGTTTCCCCAGCAATGGGAGCCAAAGCCCTGCCAGCTCCCCGGGTCCCTTCCTGGCCTGAGGGGCCAGTCAGCACCCCTTGCACATATACTGAGACCCTGAGCAAAAGCTCAGCCATCAGGACAAGTCCCCTTCTGGCAGGTCAGTGTCCCCCGTGCCAGGGACAGCCACCCGTGATGATGGATTGCTGGCCTAATGCACATATTGTTATGAAATGGGTTTATTACACTCTAAGTCTCTTACTAATGTGCCACTATTTAATCCCTTTATCCAATTCCCAGTCTCTCAGGCTTGGCCACGGCTCTTTCCACCTGGCCCTAGGTTTGGATGGTTTATCAGATGGTTTTTGACCTGGTGGGGAGACCAGGGTGAGAGCTCCTTAGAGGAGCAGAGAGGAGAGGGAGCCTTGAGCCCCTGAGAGGCTGTCAAGGGCTTGCCTGAGAACCCACACCTGGAGCCACCTGGGGCCCGAGGCGCTCGCTAGTCCCACCCCCGTCCCCATCTGGACTCCCACTGCCAGGTGCCCGCTCCGTTTCTGCCTTCTGGCTCTCACTGCCCTTGCAGCCCCTCTCTGGCTGTGGCCAGGACGCTGAGGTTGGGTTCCCCCTGGATGGAGAGAGCTGTGCTTCCCAACCTTTCCCACCCACTTCCGGCCCCACTGTTCTGCAAATTCCTTTACTTCTGCTGGGTCTCTGTCCTCCCTGGTCACTTCTCCAGCCCAGCCCCGCTAGCCAGCCACCTTCCTCTCTCAGCAGCTGGGACCGCTGTCCTCTCTGGCTTCCTCTTCTACCTCAGCTCCCCCCCCAGGCAGGCTCTCAGGGCGCAGCCTCCTCCTCCTTCTCTTCCTCCTCTTCCTCCTCCTCTTCCTCTTCCTCCTCCTCTTCCTCTTCCTCCTCAGCTTCCTCTTCCTCCTCTTCCTCTTCCTCCTCCTCTT